TGCACACCGATGTTCATAGCAGCATTATTCACAGTGGCCAGGACATGGAAGCAACCGAAGTGTCCTACGATAGATGATTGGCTAAAGAAGCTGTGATACACATATACAATCGAATATTACTCAGCCATAAGAAGAGATGAAATACTGTCATTTGGGACAACCTGGATGGACCTCGAGATAATCATGCTAAGCGAAATAAGCCATACAGAAAAAGTTGAAAATCACATGGTATCACTTATACGTGGGATATAAACCTAAAAGCAACAAATGAACAGGACAAACAAACAGAGACTCATGGACATGGACAATAGCCTAGTGGTTACCAGAAGGTAGGGAGGAGGTGGGAGGGGAGAGGTAGATGGGGTAAAAGGGGTCAAATATATGATGACAGAAAGAAATCTAACTATGGGAGATGAACACACAGTGTAAATATATATATGCCGTACTGTTAAAGTGTACACCTGTAACATAGGATTTCATTAACCAATGTCACCATAAAATAAATTAATTAAATATAATAAATATTGGTAGAGAAAAACACAATCTCTCTGGTTTTACTATAAATTCATCACCACGAATCTCAAGTAGACACTCAGCACTACCTAGCAACTATATTACACTTCATCACACTTTCCAGAATAATTATTCTATTCTTCTTGTCCCCTCAAGTCTCCAATATCCTCTTATTTTCACCCCTCATTTTTTTCAACTGACTTTATCTCAAATTTCACTTTTTTAAAAACAGAAGTAGAAGTAGCAGCAGCAGCAGCAAAGCAGACACTCCTTCATCTTTCTACTTATTAAATCTACCAGTGTACCATACCTGTCACTGTCTTCCCAAAAAGAATTAAAGAAGTGTCTTTGGCCCTACAAAAGGCCAGTCCTTCCACATAGCTCTGGACCACATAACCTCTTACCTCCTAAAACTTGGCTCCTGAAGTTATCTCTATCTTCCATGAATTATCTTTTTCTCCTAGGAGAGCTGATCACCTTCATTAGAATACAAACTTGTCCTCAAGACTATCCTAAAACATAATGTAACGAATTTTTAAATTACCATTGACTACAGTCTAGCAAGTGATTGGGTATATAAATAAACAAGATTAACAATAACCTGATAATTGCTGAAGATGAGTGATGGATATTTGGGAGTTTTATTTTACCATTCTCTTCCTTTTACATATTAGAATGTTTTTATAATAAAAAATTAAAAAACAAAACTGTGCACAGGGATTGAAAGTAGACTTCTCTTAAATATACTATTTTGTACATTTTACTTTAGAACAATTGCAAATATTTTACATAATTATAAAAGATAACAAAATGTTTTTAAATCCCTAAAAGAAAGCAAAACAAAAAAAAACACTGAGTATTAAATTGAAAGATCCACCTCACAAAGTAAAACTATTTCAATATAAAGTACAGTAATTTGACCGACATTCCTACTTAGATATATGTACTCTAGAGGACCAAGAACAAAAAACAAACAGAAAACTTGAATTTTTTTGTCATCATATTAATAATTACCAATATTATTAGTATTGTTATTTTGATATTATTGTGTGGGTATTGTTGTTGCAAATGAATAATCATGTTGGTGTGGTTGGAAATCAGTATTTTCAGAGTGGGAGATAAGAGACATAAGAATAATTAAATTTTAAATTTAAAATCCTTAATTTGAATTGAAATATCACTGTGAATTCAAACTGTACTTTGTCTTTTAAAAAAGACTAACAAATCGATAACCATACACAAGAAATAATTAACCCAAGTAACTCTTGAACAGTTTTCTGAATGGATATCCTTAGTAGTATATATTCTAAAGGCAAAAGAAATTCAAAGAAATATTAAACTTTACAGAGAACATTATTAGTGATATTAGTGTTTTAATTGTTAAACTATTTTGTGTGTATTGTAGAATAGAG